AACTTAACGTCCAAAAGCTGAGGGTTCAGTAGTATAAAAGTATAGCACTATATTAGATTAAGGTATATTTTGCTTAGGTGAAAAATGGATCATCTTGATTATGCTGTGTCTATGGAAATCCTCCAATGTTTATAAAACCTAAGGGAACTAAACATTTAATTAGCCAACTTATCCTTTAAATTTAATTTGGCCCTCCATTATTCATAATGCCTTCCCAGAGTTACTATTTGCTCATTCAAGTTGCAAACCCTGAGTCCAATGGAGATTTAATTCAATACATCAGAAACTTACTCAGAGTTTCTAAAGGTCAAGTCTTATACTAGACCCTGGGGATACAAAAAACAATGTTTTCATCCTTCGTGTATAACCAGCATTTATATGCATAATCATCAAAATAAAATTAAGGTAGCCATAATTAACAAGTATAATGGTGGTTTCATCTGGGTGTTGAGATAATGAATGGCTACTAACCTCTTCTTTTCTATTTTTCTGGACTAAACCTAAACCTGAATCTTTTTTACAATGACCATGTGTTACTCTTAACACTATATGGAAAAACAAAAAACAAAACAAAACAAACAAAAAAACCCCTAAGCCTTCTTTTATGGAAGTAGGAAAAAGGAAAATGAAGAGTGAAGACAGATTGTGTATTTTAATGTGGAGCAAATTTACCTTAATAAAACAAGAAAAATAAACTTTTCTCTTCAAAAAGTCCCAATCACTACTGTTATTAGAAACAATTTGACACTCTGAGATCCTGTATGACAGCAAATGAACAAAGGCATTGTGACATGACCCATCAGTTTAAGTGTTTGAAATCCCTTCTAAGGTAAGTATTCACTAGACCATAAGAGTCTCTTTGGTTTAGCAATACTATTTATAATGTAGATAATTTACTGTTTCTGAAGCTTACTGGGGAATAATAAATGACACTTCTGAAGAAGAAACAAGAAATTTTATTCAAAGAAGTAAATAAAGTATGCCATTGGGACACAGGTAGTTGTTTTTGTTTGTTTTAGTTTGGTAAATGCAAGTGAAAAAAATGAGTTTTGGCAAAGTTCTTGAAATTGTCAGGCTTACATTGGAAATCTGGGCAATATAATAATACTCAAAGAAATAAACAGAAAACCACAAAACAAATATTTATAACCAAATACCTAACCACAGTATTTATCAGTGAAATAAAGTCTGAATTAGTAGCTGCAAACTCATATCAGAAATTGTGAATCCTCCCTCATAAAGCCATCTTTAAGGTTATACATATCTGGAAGATTTGTATTTATTACCCATAGATTTCAACCAATCATAGGCAACCATTTAAAAAATCACTGCAATCTCTTTTTTAGTTAACTAGATCCAGATTGTTCTGAAAATAATTTTCTCCACTCTTTGGTTGATCATAAAAATGCAATGGCAGCTTCAGAGGAAGAGCAAAGAGTAGGACTATGCATTGTCTCTTTTAACCTTCATCCTATCACCCTTTACTTTCCCTGTACTTACACTTTCCATCTGTCAACAAGTGCTTGTAATTTTATTGCACTGTCCTGTAGTTTACGCAGAGTTGGTATTATTTTACAGAGTTCTGTTAATGGACTGGATAAATGGTAATGCTATTTAAACTAGTCTCCAGCTCCAACAAACACAGCTGCAACTGTACTACTATTTCTGAGCAAACATCTTGACCTGAACATGTAGTGCTCTCTCAACCCGTCCAAAGAGAAATTGGAGCAGACAGCAAAGGGAAAGCATATTTGGCCGCTAGCAGCAATCAACCATGTCGAATCATAATTCATATACAGTGTACCCTCTTTTTCTTTCATACTGCATTCAGAGGCTGCAAAAAAACATGTGTGCTTCTTCTCCTGGCATCTCATTTTCAGCCAAGAGTCAAATGGTGATTATTCATTACAAGAGCACAAAGAAAATCTATGTATTGTTCCATATATCAGGATAGCTTTCACATAATCAATGCTAAAATTTTAACTACATATATTTAAAATTACATCTTTAAAATTAACTATACATTAGATTGGTAATCTTTTTTGTTGGTAATAGATTAGAAAAAAAATGCATTAAGGTAAAAGGTACAAATAAGTAAGAAAATAAGTAAATTGAGATAGTATATAGCATCTATATTAATTTATAAAGAGAAAACACATTATAAATTTGTTTCTTTTCTAAGTTCTGGATGTGCATGTCTTTACCACATTATACAGTCAGGAACCTATGGCTCTCTTAATATATACAGGCAACAACCAATCAAGAGCTTTCTTTGTCCTAACACCCATGTTATTTTTCAAAATCCTAGATACTTTCTTCTGTCACTTATCTTTCTTGTGCAAGAAATATTACTTTTTAAGTTAACATTTTAAAGGATACTTTCACAAGTAGTTTTGAGCACATTTTGCCACCCTACCAGAACACTTGTTTCAGGTGAGCTATTAAGCACCTGTATCAGAGGAAGAAAATTTGAACCTGCATCCCTGCTCTTTGTAGTATAGTCAGCTTTGCAAACTTTTTGTCGTTTATTTCAAAACTTTTGTTTGTTTATTAAAGGCTCCTAAATGAGCAATCACAGTCATTTTTAAAAAGTGGTCACATGTAGCTGATCAGTTTGCCTCTCAAGAGAAAAAATATCATTGTTAACAATTTATCTAAGTCTAATTCAGTTGAGGTGACCATTCCTCAAATCTAAAAGAAAATTCCTTGCTGGAGAATGCAGATAAAAACTAAGCCTCTATATTTCTATATGCAGCCAGTGTCCATGTCAGCTGTCAAATGCCAGATAAAGAGGGCCACTTTATCTTAAAGTCTGATATTAAACATTAAGACATCAAGGTGTAACTTCAGGGATATTAACATATCCATGTCTCTACTATAACTACTCTCACCTAACAAACACAACTTGGATTCCATTACTCCCCAGGGAACATTCTTTGTGCCAAACAAGCCCACGAAAATTTCTGAATGTATTTCCCAGCTCTCCATTTTCTCATATTTTAATGTGCCTTTAATGAATTAGGAAACTCTGTCATCTTTTTAAGGGTTCTGGTTTTTTAATTCACTTCTCAAATATTCCAAACCATTTTTTTTTTTTCATATAGAAGCTTTGGAAAGTTATAAAAACAAAACCAAACATAAGAGAAAATCTCCTGGTCTACTATGTGACATTGTCAAAGAGGGCAGAAAGTCAGACAGAATATTGTCTGCTGATGGGAAATTCTACAGCAGATTGTGCTACCTGAGAACTCAAAGGGAAATTAACACAAGAATTACTTCTAGAATAAACATCAAACCTTCTTGTTTCTCAGAGATTGGGCTGAGAGTACTTCCTCTACTCTCCCCTTTTCAACTTAATACTTTGAATTTTACATTACAGTTGTTCCATTTAAAGTCATTTGTACAGTACATGGAAAACAACTTTGTAAACTACTGAGTTTTAGTTTTCAAGGTACTCTATTACCAGAGGAATTGCTTAACAGTGCTCTTTGTATGCTAGCTTTGAAGTCCATCAAGACTACCTAATGCAGAAAGAGAAACACTAAGAAAACCAACTCTGGCTATTGTGAGAAAAACCAAACACAAATATTTAAATATAAGTTTCAACTCATATAGATACATATAATTTTTACAGCAGCCCTACATCCTATTTCCTTGGGAAGAATGGCCCCTGGAGAACATTTGTTAAAAAGAGGATTCTTCATTTGATTGCTTTATGTAGACTTAAATTGGACCAATTAAGCAACAGAGAACACAAAGAAGAGGAGAAATACTGCCAGTGAATTTGGCTAGCCTTGGAGAAACAATGTCAAGAAAGTCACACTAGAGAGAAGATGTGATGTGTCTGTGGGAAAGTTTTCCCTAGAGTGAAATAAGGTATTCAGGGACCAAGCTGAGATTCTGGCTTCAATGGGGGTGTGTGTGGGAGGGCTGTCTTCCTATTTTTGAAATCAGTAACAACATTGAACTTTCAGGTTACAAAGCCTTGACTACAAAAGTCAAGCTCAAACAAAGCAACATGTTTATTTTCTGTACAAACACTACCATATGGGACTCCCCACCATCCAGGTGGGGCCACTCTGAACAATTTACTCCACAGATCCCAGCAGTTTTTTTTCACAACATATATGAGCATCAGTAATCACTGCTATTTATTTTTCCAACACTTTGTAGCTTATCCGCCATCTGTATAACATCATTCATATGGCTGAAAATCTAATTTTAAAAGCCTTCAAAAATGTGTTTTCACTATTATACATTATTAGGTCAGTGAGCAAGCATTCCAGGGATGAAAAACTGATTCTACCTAATACTCATATTATGATCTTTTAAAGAACTACTTCCCTTTAACAACCTATGATGCATTTGACATAAATACCTTACTTTCCAATCATTGATTCTGCAGAGTTTGGAACTTGGGTTTTAAAAGGGAACATTTAAAAGTGAATTTACAACTTTCTTTCAATAGCTGATAATAAAATTTTCAGACTAATAAACACTACTCCTTGGTTACAGAAACAATACCAAAAAAAAAAACTGAGATCAACTTTACAAGAAAACACTGTCAACTTCCTTTTTAGAGGAAACAGAGTAGCAATTTCCCCTTCAGAATTAATTCAAACTTTTCCATTAAGAAATAGGTAAATCTCACCATCATAAAATAACCAAAAAAAAAAAAAAGAAGAATACCACCATTACAACCACACATAAATAAACCACTGAATGCTAACCAAACAAGCCACTGGAACCACTGGAAAACTAAGCATATATTTCCTTCAAAACATAATAAAGGCAGCGCTAGGAATATAGCTCAGTTGGTAGAGTGTTTGTCTTGCATGCACAGGGTCCTGGGTTCAAATCCCAGCACCACCAAAAAGCATAAAAAGGCGAACTTTCACTTCATCAATATATTTGAAAGCAGATTCCAGGAAAGCACAAGGAAACAGATCCAAAACACAAGGTACTACCCAAAGCAACACTAACAGTGTGCATCTACTTACAGCCTGTATAGCTTCGAGGTCCCAAGAAACAGCAACTCAGGAAACAGTTGAAGGTGATTTCTGTTTAAACGCCTTTTGAGAAAACAAAAACAAAGCTTATGTTACATAGAGAATACCCAACAATGAGACTGCGATTTGGTAGTGTCATGCCTCATCCTGAATTTCAAGTAAGAATGGAGTGACATTCAAGAGAATTCAAGCATTGCAAATCAAAAGTTGGTTACACCTTTGGTTACATGACTCTTTAAAGCAATTTTCCATTATGCTCACTCAGATGATGATTGCTGAGCCTAAACTCTAAACTCAAATCTCCTGCAACATCAGTCAACCAGAATATACACAATGGTGAAAGATTTCATGACTCAGGCTCAAGTCTGTGAAGCAACTTCCATATACAACAGAAATTATACAGGAAATGGTAAAATAATTCGTACTCTGTCCTGAATGACCTAAGTTTTCAGTCAAGGCATTGTGGGGAGATGGAGATTTCAATTTTGTACCTCTATTTAGCTAAAAAATAAAAATAAAGGTGTGATGGGCTGGGATTGTGGCTCAGTGGTAGAGTGCTTGCCTAGCATATATGAGGCACTGGGTTTGATTCTCAGCATGGCATATAAATGAATAAAATAAAGGTCCATCAACAACTAAAAAGAATATTAAAAATATATAAATAAAATAAAAGTGTGACAAAATGTTAAGTATGGTTTTTCCTTACAGGCAAAATCAGAAGAAAGCCAACAAAGTTCACACCTCAACCCAAAGCCTCTCAACCCTTCACTGAATTTAATGCTCAGAGTTATAGTGTATGGTGATGTCATAAATTGCTTAAATATCTTTTAAATGTTTAACTGATGTTGGAGTGTTTTAGATGTTTTAGAAAGAATTTGAGTCCAACTCTAACTCAATTTAAATCCTGATGTAATATGACAATTCTTTTGGACTATACACGCCTATGAACAGAGTAGGTGAATTCTACCCCTGATACCCAATTCTTTAAGAGTTAGTTTTAACATTAAATTCAAAATAATAGCTTATTTCTTTTTATAAATCTAAATTTAAAAAAATCTAAATCTAACATAAAATACACACAATCTGCTTAATTTACAAGAGGATAAGTAGGTCCAGAAACTAACATCACACTGAAGAAACCAGAGGTATTTCTTAAGTCTTCAAAATACATATGGGGACAGAAAAAAGCATATCATTCTTGATGTAGTTAAAGGAGCCTCAGGTAGAAGCAGAATTACATTCAGTCTCTAGAGGACAGAAATGAGACCAGTAATTGTGATTCCTAAGAAAGATAGTAAGGAGTCCTTTCTAAGAATTAGGGATATTAAAAAATGGAAATATCTACCCTGAGATCAACCTTGAGAAACTGTCCACTACTTATCCTAGATATACTCAAGGAGTGTATGTTTTTGTTTTTTCTGCTGAGAACATGATAAAGGGAAATCCGATATTAAGTGAGAAGCTGGACCAAGTGGACTTCAGAATTCCTAATTCAAAGATGTCACAAGGCAATGAATGTGAACACAGCTTTGGTTTCATAACTCATATCACTAAGAAGTTGATCATTGACAGAAACATTCTCAGCATTTAATAAAATGTACACTAATTTTAAAAAAGGATGCCAAGACAAATGAAGGGCAAAGAGTAAAAGCACAGATGAAAGGATGGGCTTACTTCCCACTTACACTAGTTTTTAGGAATAAAGTACATAACAAGGTAAAATGGAACCCAAAAGCTTTTATTTGCTCTCTATTGGGCATGATTCTGAGAAAGAAGTACTTCCCGATCCCACCATTATCCATTTTTGATAAAATAAAGCCTAATTTTGATTTGCTAAATTCACCTCCAAAGAAAGTAAATTACAAATATTCACAACAGTGGTAATGAAAATTTTTCTAGAAAAGCAGTCATTCATGGAAGGAGGTATATTGTCCAAAGAGCCAGTTCTGATTCCTAAAATAGCAGAGATGAGATTTCTTAATCATATCCAAACCATGTGATTAACAACTGTCATCCAATTCTTCAGCCATAGTAGCCATGCTCCTTCAAACCAGAGTTCCTGCCGAGGCAGCTCTCTGTGTAGGGGGCTTCCCTTTTCATCAAAAGTTGCTTTACTTACATCCTCTGTGCAGCTTTCCAATTCTACATAGATTCAACACCTCCCTTGGCTATGTCCCCAAAACACTTGATAAGTAAAAGTCCCTCCACTAATGATATTTATTCAAGTGTGGTCTCTTCCCACCAGCCTGTGAACTTTTCAAGGGTAAAGACCTTGTCTTTGTATTTCCTCCCGCCTTTTCTGGTACTTAACTGGGTTTTAAAGCAAAACAGAAGGCAAAGAGAGGAGTCTGTTCGCATTTAACATGTCCTTCCCTGGCACTTAGTAGGGTCTTAGATATGTTGATTGACAACAGACTATCCTCCTCTTTTGATATCGGTCAGCAAGAGCTTGACATAATTTTATACCCGGAGAGCTTTCCTCTGGCATACTTCTTGTGATGCCTCTTCAAGTTTGATGCTACACTCTGGCTAAGGAAAGCCCCACCATCCTACCTGCTTCCACATGTCCCAGGCAATACTAATCTCCTTCCCTTTCCATCAACCTCTTTGCCCACTCTCTTGCTCCCACCTGAAACATTATCAGCATCACTTAGAGTTGAAAGAAATTTAATGAATTTAAACAAATCCAGAAATGCAAGTGAATGACGGTTGTCTTGTTAGGGGTCTGCATCAATACAACTTCATGTGTTGTGAAAAAGTAGATATTTCAGAGTAGGAACTGCTCTTATTTATCAACTTCATATTCCCAGTGTTTCTTAATTTGCTCCACGAGTAGTAGGTAAGTGCATTAAGCTTACTATGTGATACTCCCTGTTCTGCCAGGTTTACATGAATTATCTCGTTCACTCTTCACAATATCCCCCATGTAGGTACAACTTTTAACTGCTGTTTTGGAGGGAGACATGGAGCTCAAAGACTGCTAGAATTTGAATTCAAGTGGCATGACTCCAGAACATATCTTCTGAGTTACAGAAGAACACAGAATAACATTCCTAAACAATAATTCAAAATAATGTATTGCTGAAACTTTACTTTTCACCAATTTTTCCTTCAGAAAAACATAGTTTTGTATAACCAGTTTCTTAAACATCTACAAACTAATCATCTGAAAATAAAACACCAAGTTTTATTTTTTAAAATATGACTCTATATTCACCTTTTAAATGTCTATTTTAAATACCTACGGTTGAGAGAAAAAGAAAAAAAAAATACAGGTGAAACTTTTTTCTCTGAATTCAAGCATTTTTTCACTCTTTCAGGAAAGCAATTATGAATGATCTTTAAATATGTTTAAACCAACTATGAATCATTTCCATTTTAAGCATCAGACAACATAGTATTAGACAAAAAGGGCCAGTATCAGTAAGTGATGCATAATATGCAGATAGAAAACAGGGCACGTTTGCTGGTTTTTAAAATTTTTGTTTTTTGTTTTTTTCTTAAAAAGAGTATGTTCACTTTGGGCTTCCGACTCCTGTTATATTTTCTCTTCCATCAGTACTAAGGTTAATTGGAAACAAAAACAGTAAAAAAAAAAAAAGAAGAAGAAGAAGCTCTTCCAAAAAATATTTAATAAAGAAAATATTTAAGGGGAGGGGAGTGGGGATAGTAGAGGATAGGAAAGGCAGCAGAATACAACAGACACTAGTATGGCAATATGTAAATCAATGGATGTGTAACTGATGTGATTCTGCAATCTGTATACGGGGTAAAAATGGGAGTTCATAACCCACTTGAATCAAAGTGTGAAATATGATATATCAAGAACTATGTAATGTATTATTGTATAAAGACCATAAATTAAATCCTTAATCTAAAGAGCAGTTTTTTAAATCGAGAATTACAATAAAGACTCTTAAGGTGCAAAACAAGTACTTAAAAAGAGCTGAAGAAAAAGTTATCTTCCTTCCAATTCCACATACAAAACAATTGTTAGTGGCTTAAAGAGCAGTGTTATAATAAGAACTATAACAAAAGTGAGCTGCTGATATTAAAATGTGATAGTTGCAGGACAGGAAAACAGATGTAAGGAACAGATGATACTGAGCAGGACTGTTTATGGGGCCCACATAAACTTGCTCATTGTACAGACTAGGTAAGTTAACTGTGACTACTCAGAGCAAGGACACTTAATGACATTTAATCATGTCTGAGGAGATAGCAGAGGTAAAATGACACCTAGCTCTGCATCATCATCCGTAGGTGGAATCTGCCTCCAAGATTCCAAGACTGTCTGGGAATTTTCTGTATGGCATTCCTGGATTGAGAAAGGTGCGTGATCTTTCTCCCAGACACTTTATTTTAGAGCAAAGATGAGAAGGAGTCCCAATAAGTGCTCATTCTATGGTACCAGCTAATTTTGAGTTTGACTTTCATTAGAGTGAATGACCTTTCTGTGTCACGCAAAACACCACTGGCCTCTGAAATGCTGATTCTTAACAACCTTAATTCGAAGGGCACCTGAACATTATCGACAAGCTTTGTTCTAAATTATCATGTGCTAGCTGCTCCCGTGTGACTCTTGTCCTTTCATAGACAATATAGTCTCTTATTGTATTCAACTTCTACGTCAATTTAATTAATATTGGTAATCTTCCATCCAATTTAAAATGTAAAATAAGAACAGTTTCACCAAAGCCAGTGAAAAATTCATGCTTTTTTTCTTACATGTCATTCTCAATGTAGGGTATTTTTGCAGCACACTTGGTCTGTAATAAACATCTGATAAATTTGCCTTAGAAAGTTTATCATTTCCAACCTCCTGTTTCTCATACATAAATGGCCAGGAATAGAACTAATTAGTTCCCTATTTTGACCTCTTCTTAGACAAAATTTCCAATTATCTTTTCTTAAATGTTTTTATTCTAATATTTTTAGATCAAGTATTTTAACATTTATCATGCATTACAAAAACATGAATTTTCAACAGCATTATCAACTTAGCTTGTATTAAATTAACAGTTCTGTATTTTAAGTAGTGATATCAATGATAATTTCATCCC